ATTTTTATTTTTAATTTTAATTAAATAAATTATAAATAATTTAAATAAATATTAATTAAATATTTTAATGCATATACGGCCCCCATATATGCATCAAAATATTTGATTAATATTTATTTAAATTATTTATTGAATTAAAATTAAAAATAAAAATAATATAAATTACTAATAACGATGATTAACAAAAGCTTTTGCGCTAGCCTTACTAAAATTGAAACTTGGGAAGCTGTGAAAGGACTTAATCCGAAGAGGGTATTTGTTTCAGAGTTGCTGGAATATCATCAAAGGAGGACTTCATGGCATTTGTTTCGGATTTTTTTCGAGGTGGTCCAGTGCCTAAACATATAAATATGACCTCTCTTATATTATTGCCTAAAAGTCCAGATGCTCGAAAGATTTGTGATTACCGGCCGATTAGTTTGGGGAACTTTGTTGGTAAGATTATTTCAAAAATTATTTTGCAACCAGACTTTTGAAAATTCTTCATTCTCTTATTGATGAAGAACAAGTTGGATTTGTTAAAGGTCGGCAACAACACAACTCATACAAACTTTTGAATTTTTTTTTCTTATTTTTTTTTTCGGATTTTTTCGCCGGTTTCCGGCGTTGACCGCCGGTCAACGCCGGTCTCCGGCATTGACTTTTTTTTTCTTTTCTTTTCTTCCGGATTTTTTCGCCGGTTTCCGGCGGTCTCCGGCGTTGACTTTTTTTAGTGTTTTTTTAAGTTCTGTTTTTTTTTTTTTTTGGTTTGTTTTTTTTTTTTACGTCTGCCGCTAAACGTTGATCGTAATTGTGCTGTCACTGACAGTAAATTAACGTAATTATATTGTCAATGACAGTAAATTAACGTAATTGTACTGCCGTTGACAATACATTTATGTAATTGTGCTGCCGTTGACAGTAAATCAATGTAATATTATTATTTTTTTATTTTTTTATTTTTTTATTTTTTTTGTTTGATTGTTGACAAGTCAACGTACTTATACTACTGCCGTTGACAGTAAAATAACTGTAAACACAATAATATTACTGTCAACAACATCAATATTATTTTTTGGATTTTTTGTTTTGTTTAAGTTATTCACGGAGTAACGTAATAATATTACTGTCTACTATTGTAATATTACTGTAACCACAATAATATTACTGTGGTTGACGGTAATATTAATGTTGTTATAGTAATATTGTTGTCAACCACATCAATATTATTATTTTGTTTGGATATTTTGTTTGTTTGTGTTATTCATGGAGTAACGTAATAATATTACTGTCTATTATTGTAATATTACTGTCGTTGACAGTAAAATAACTGTAAACACAATAATATTATTGTCAACAACATCAATATTATTTTTTGGATTTTTTGTTTTGTTTAAGTTATTCACGGAGTAACGTAATAATATTACTGTCTACTATTGTAATATTACTGTAACCACAATAATATTACTGTGGTTGACGGTAATATTACTGTTGTTATAGTAATATTGTTGTCAACCACATCAATATTATTATTTTGTTTGGATATTTTGTTTGTTTGTGTTATTCATGGAGTAACGTAATAATATTACTGTCTATTATTGTAATATTACTGTGGTTGACGGTAATATTATGTTGTTATAGTAATATTACTAGGGATGGCAATGGGTACGGGTTTGGCGGGTCTTGGACCCGGAACCGACCCGTTTGGGGCGGGTCTGGGTCAGCTAAATGGTTCTGGAGCGGGTAATGGGTTTAAGATTCTAGAACCGGATGGTTCTGGGTCGGGTTACGGGTCTTATTGGAACCGACCCGGAACCGACCCGTATATATATATATATATATATATATATATATATATATATATATATATATATATATATATATAATTTCGATTTTCATTTATCAAACTATCAATTTCCATCTTGTCTATTCTCATTTACCTATTTTCACTGTTTTATTTTTCGATTTTCATTTCTCGTGAGTAATATTTATGACTTGTCGACCACCGCTAATTGTCTTCCATTTTGAGTTTTACGTATTATCGAAGTTAAATATAATTAATTGTAATTTTATTGTTCATGTTATGACACTTAAAGAGATTTTTTAAAATATTGTATTTTAGTATTGAGATTATTTCGTAAAAATATACATGCAAAATGTTATGAAAGTTAAAAAATATTAAACTTTTTGTATGTTAATGGGTCTAACGGGTCTGGCGGGTCGGAACCGTTTAGTTAGGGTTTGGGTTGGGGCGGGTCTGGGTCTAAGCTTAAGCGGGTTGGGGCGGGTCTTGGGTTTATATATTTTTCGTGGGTCGGGTCTTGGGTTTAGGCAAACCCGGCCCAGAACCGACCCGTTGCCATCCCTAAATATTACTGTCACTCACAGTAATATTAATTCTTTTGGTTTTTTATTATGTTTACATTTGTTGAACGGTCAACATAGTAATATTACTCTATTACACAATTATGAGTTTTGTTGTGTTAATATTACTGTGCTAGAGATTAATATAGCAATATTACTGTGTTAAACTGTAGTTTAGTTTAATTTTATTGTGTTTAACAGTAATATAGTTAATATTACTGTCAATCACAGCAATATTGCTGTTTAAACGAAAAAAAAGGTTACAGAAAGAAACAAAAGAAAAAAAAAATCGAAAAAGTCAACGCCGGTAACCGGCAAAAAATCCGGAAGAAAAAAAAATGAAAAGTCAACGCCGGAGATCGGCGTTGACCGCCGGTCAACGCCGGAATCCGGCGGAAAAAATGTTTTTTGAAAAAAAAAAGTTTTGGGTCAAAATTGATTAATTTGTGAAATTTGGGGTCAAATTGAGGTTAAATAAAGTTAAGGATGAAATTAGAGCATATTAAAGTATGAGGGGTTATTTTAGTCATTTACGAAAATCTGGACCATGTGTGGACTTATTGGTAAAGGAGGTTTTTTGTCTTGATCTCTTTATAAATAATTAACCATGGATGGACTTATTTGTAAAGACCCCTATGATGATGCTAGAGTTAGATCACCTTAGTGAGTTGAAGTAGGATGAGCTGGAAGAGTAGAGTGGATCACCGGCTCACGAGCTTGATGACCTTGAGATACCTGCGATCACAGAACACGTGAACTAGGCCGGGGGTTGATCCGGCGGAAACCCCTCCGACGCTCAAGTCAGACGTTCTGATAGTGGAAATAGTCCAGAGAATACATATCGTAGTATTACTCAGTTAATTGGACGTACCTTAAGGAATGAGTTCCAATGATTATTTATAGCTTAGTGGAGATTGTCGGGCTCAAACCTTACTTGAAGGTGATTGGGCCTCGGTAGTAGTGGTCTTCAATATTGGGCTCGTGGCCCAGTAGGTAAAGAGATTGTAGGTTTCTTGGGTTGGCCCAAATAGGCATATCATTAAGCCCCCCACTCTCGAGTGGATGTGGGAGCCATGTTGAAATGGGTGTCAGATCGTGTCGAGAGTAAAAATTGTAGGAGTCGATCGTTGGCGTATGGCCTAATGGTGTGCGAAAACGCGTTGGAGCGTGTATCGGAGGGGTGTGAAGGCGCGTTGGCGCGATCAAATTGTCGCGATATAAGTTACTTGAGTCGTCGGTGTTGTCCCGCGACGATGTAGTAGCTCGGATCAAGTTATCTCCTCGTGGGAGTTGTCTCGTCGTGGGGTAATAGAGTTGATCGAGTTATCTGAACCATTAGAGGAGCAAGTAGAAGTTGATCTTGTTGAAGGTTCGGCGATCATACGCTGAAGGTCCTCTTCGGTTATATGAACCGTTCGAGGGGGGGCAGAAGTAGGCCCCCAGAGAGTCGATGACCCATGGCGAACGAAATGTTTTGGGGGCACTGTAAACCCCCAGGGAGTCGATAACCCTTGGTGAACGAAATATTTTGGGGGCAGATGTAAGCCCCCATGGAGTCGATAACCCTTGGCGAACGAAATATTTTGGGGGCACTATAAACCCCCAGGGAGTCGATAACCCTTGGCGAACGAAATATTTTGGGGGCAGATGTAAGCCCCCAGGGAGTCGATAACCCTTGCTAGCGTTGAAGGGCCTCCTCGGTTGTATGAACCGATCGAGGGGCGAGAAGAAGTGGATCATGTTGAGGATCTAGTGGGACATCACGAGGAGGATCTCGTGGTGGATCCCGAGCATGGGGAGGAGGAAGTGGCAAGCCAGAGCCTCCACAAGGTGGGAGGTTGTTAGCAGTGCACACTTCCCTGAGCAGAAGTCTCAAGGCCATCTTGCGCGCTACATGGTCTTGTTTGCCTTCCCAGAGACGGCGCCAAAATGATGATGCTAGAGTTAGATCACCTTAGTGAGTTGAAGTAGGATGAGCTGGAAGAACAGAGTGGGTCAACGGCTCACGAGCTTGATGACCTTGAGATACCTGCGATCATAGAACACGTGAACTAGGCTGGGGTTGATCCGGCGGAAACCCCTCTGACGCTCAAGTCAGACGTGTTGATAGTGGAAATAGTCCTGAGAATACATATCGTAGTATTGCTCAGTTAATTGGACGTACCTTAAGAAATGAGTTCCAATATAGCTTAGTAGAGATTGTCGGGCCCAAACCTTACTTGAAGATGATTGGACCTTGGTAGTAGTGGTCTTCAATATTGGGCTCATGTCCCAGTAGATAAAGAGATTGTAGACTTATTGTGTTGACCCACTTAGACATATGTTGGCCCAAATAGGCATATCACCCTAATTTTAAAAGATAAACATAGTCTGAGATGAACTTTTACATTCAAAATATACCTGGAATGAAAGAGAGAATATTCTATACGGAACCAAAATTTGGGAAATGACCAGATTTTTCTCTAATCCATATAGACTCAGTATAACGTTGACTATTTCATGTTCATACGTATTTGCGATAACAGGCGAGCACAACCCATTTTTCTCTTGTTTTATGGAGTAAAGAATTGGATAATGATTAATGATTCGGCTTACCCAATATTTTAATTTTTAATATTAATAAATAGGTCGAAAACAAAGTCTATAAGCAAAGCGTCATCGTTCATTCCACCACCACCACATTCATTCCTCACTTTCTTTATCATTTTCCTTTGCTCTTTCTTCACCGTCATCGTTTTCTTCCAAAAAGGTTCTTCTTCCTCTTTTTTATATCTATCTATCAATATATATACATATACACACACATATATATTGATAGAATAATTTTCTTTTCTTGTTTCAGTTTTCGTTTTAGCTTAAAAGCTATTTCACGATTGTGATTCTGGGTTCCGTTCTTTATCTTTTGATAGATTGGGTCTTTTGTGTAAATTAGATCACATCTTTTTTTGGGTTATCAATTAAAATATCTTTCAGTGGGGTTCTTGATTGATAACCTTTGATTTTCTAGGGTATACAAACATTGCTAAGGGTTTTCTAGGGTTTTTTTTATTTAATTTTTTTTAGGATCAATTTTTTGTTTTATTGATAATTAATTGAAATTGGGTTCGTCTAGAGGGTTTAAATTTCGACGGTTTGGATTCGTTGGTTAAATTTCAAGAATTTGACTTTTAAAATTTGAGCAGTGATATCCAGGTGGAATGGCGAAGAGCTCATTCAAGCAAGAGCATGATCTTGGTTTGTACCTTCGATTGTTTAATTTAATTATGATCTTGGTATTACTTTTTTTTTTTTTTTTATTTTCTGATAAATTAGCATATTATATTCTCAGAGAAAAGGCGTGCTGAGGCTGCTAGGATTAGGGAGAAATACCCAGATCGAATTCCGGTGAGAATTCAGCCGCCAATTTTATGCATTCTGTTGTTTGTAATTCCGTTTATGTGGATGACGATTTTGACAATGTTTTTAGGAATGAGGGTTTAAATTACGAAATCTGCTTTGCATCTTCATCCAGTTTATAACATTTAATCTTTCGCCATCTTTTCTACGTTTACCCTGTCGTTCGTGATTCGACTATAGTATTTGCGTGAAGCAGTCTATTATTCTAATCTCCTTATTGCCACTGCATTTTGCTATTTCTTTGTTAGGCTATACGTGTCTCGAATATTTGATAAGTTAAGGCTGACTTCTTGAAATCGATTCTACTTGAACGGTAGACTTTTAAAATTTTTTCCAATTGTAGAGTTAGAACTTCATTTATCGGGTTTGTGAGCAGCTTCTTTACTCAAGTGTGTTCCCTTTATTTTTATTAATCTTGTTTTCCCTTACGGATTGATGTTATGTTCTTGACTGAAACATTTTTGTTGGGACGGTGATTATCTCCAGTACGAGTATTATCCGCAACGAAACTGTTATATTTGATATTAACTTCACTGATGTCAGTTGTTTTCTGAAAATGTAGGTGATTGTGGAGAAGGCGGAAAGGAGTGATATCCCAAACATTGACAAGAAAAAGTAAGTATATGCCACAATATTAATTTCTACCAAATTGATTACTTGCCGTAATGTGTCTTATTACAAATAGTGCTAATTGATGTCAAAATAGTGATTCTTTTTTTTTTTTTTTTTTTTTTTTTTTAACATAATTGATTGGATAAGATTATTCAACAGATGTGATAAACCAATTTTGATATGTTACGACTATGTTTCGGCCGTACCTTATGTTATGATAAAATTCTCTACTTGCAAATAAAACTGAGTAACACCTCTGATTAATGTATTTGATGGTTCTTGTGTCTACAGTTTGGCAGAGTGTTATTTCTTTTAAGTTTCTTCGTCACTAATATAGTTCGTCTATAGCTAAACTAATCTTAAATGAAATACATCAAGATTGATACCATCTTTGACTGTACGAATATAAAAAATATAGGTAAACAATGCATCGAGTGCCAAATGTTTTGATGTTCATAGTGTTATTCTCTGATCATTTGTCACTTTGTCTATTTTTGCATCTCTCTTTTCCGGGTTATAATATTATTTATTTCATATTTGGAAAAGACTTTTCTTTCCCGAAGCCTTGTAAATGTTTTTTTTTCAAACGAAATCTGTAAACCATTTGAAATTTGGAAGTCGAGATTTAGTTATCTTACCGAGATAATCATTCATAGGTATCTTGTCCCGGCGGATTTGACTGTTGGACAGTTTGTTTATGTTATACGAAAAAGAATCAAACTGAGTGCAGAGAAGGCAATCTTCATATTTGTTGACAACGTTCTACCGCCTACAGGTAAACATTTTAAATCACTGATATAACTTTATACATGGTATTAATTAATTTACTTATTTATTAAAAAATTTTTTCTCGTTCCTGTTGTAGGTGCTATAATGTCTTCTATATATGATGACAAGAAGGATGAAGATGGCTTCCTTTACGTAACCTACAGCGGAGAAAACACATTTGGTTATCCAATTGCTTCGATTACTTCCGAGTAGTTGGTGCAAAATTATAGTGTGCTGATAATAAATACTCAGTTTGCTATAACATTCTAATAAAAGATAATTTCTAATTATTAATATTCTGTATAGCTTCTATTTTGTGTATAGTTTCTGAATCTTGGAGACACTTAAGATTTCAGCGTTTCCTATTATGTGAATACATTATCCAATTTCTTCTTCTTCTTCTCTACTGTTGGATCAGTATCACGATTAAGCGGTGATGAAGAAGATTTGGTTGATTCGTTTATCCTTTTCGATTTAATGTTGGTTCTTTGATGAAAATCATGCTTATTATAATTTGCTGCTCGTCAGTGTTTCTTCTGTGGTTGCTGTCGTAGTATCATTTTGGGAAATTATGAAATTGTTGGTTTATAATAGTTGGTCTTCTAGTTGGAATTGAGAATTTATGTGGCGTCTCATACACTACGTTGTGCTTCCTCATACTCAAATGCTGTAGAAACCCGAATGAGGAAACATTGAAGCACCTTTTTCTCACAAAATTAGGTTTTGCCGGTCTTATCATTTGAATCCGACACCAAAATTCTTGTGGAGATGATTTGTAAAATTAGACTACATGAGAGGTGACCTATTTGGTTTAAAAGTGTCGCAAGTTTTCGTTGCTGAAAGTATCTGATTTTGTTGCCCGCTTCGTTGCGGAGTGTCCGGGGCAACGAAAGTTAGAAATCGTTGCCAATACATTGAGAATGACAACGACTTGCATATTGTTGTTAAACATATATGTTGCCAGAACTCTAACTATGAACAACATATTCAGTTTGTTGCCACAAATTATTCCTTGTCAATACATTCATCGTGCCCAATAAAATATATTTTCATTGCCAATACATTTATCATGCACAAGAAAATTATTTCATTGCCAATATATCCATCGTGTACTACAAATTTGTTTTGTTGCCAATACATTTACTGTGCATGACGAATTTATTTCGTCGCCAATACACCGGCCGTGCACAACGATTTTTTTTTTCCTCGAAAGTATATACTATAGACAACGAACAATTTTGAGCACTACTCTTTCATTTAGCGGTGCGCGCGCGCGTTTTAACCCCCTTCTTTTTTTTTTGCTCGCTCGTGCGCGATTGGCCCCCCATTTTTTTTTGAGGGAGTTCGTGTGCGAACCGATGTAGGGGTTAGGCTTTTGGAACGACGATTTGGGACCAAATGTTGGTATTCTTGATACCAAATGTGGGTATTTTTTATACCAAATATTGGGCTAATTATCTCCTCGTGGGAGTTGTTTTGCCGTGGGATAGCGATGTTGGGCGAATTATCTCCTCGTGGGAGTTGTCTCATTTTCGCGACGCGGGTGGTGTTGATTAGGACATTGTCTGATGGGTGGATCCGAGCCTTCTCGATGGAGGAGAAGAAGTAGAGGATGTCGATGATGATTCTTGTATTTTCATATTTTGAGTAGATGGGTATGCCCACTATTCTTTCCTTTTGACGTTTATATTGTTTGACATTGTTATTGGTTTGACGCGTTGCTTGTATGTGTTTACATTTAACATTGTGCGTGATGTACTTGATGAGGGATCAGTCTCTCAAGATTTTTTGATGGGGATCGTGCCCCTTGTTAGACCTCATGGGTCGCAAGTATGTTAGGGCCGTGGCCACGTTTTAATGAAGGACCCATCGAAAACCATGTAGATAAATTTGAGTAATCAAGCTGGCCAGGCTATATAGATTCCCATAATATATAAGTGTTTCTAGGGTTAATGTTGACTTGAGATAATAATTATGTAGTTGTTGAGCAATAATACCGAGTGTAAGGGTAATAACTTGTTTTATTCATTGCTTGAAAATGTGAAGGTTACAAGCCTACTTGAGGCGAATGTAACTAAACAAGTAGGGAGCGAATAGCTCAAAATAACTAAACTCGTACTAAGTAGATGACGTAGATGTTTTGTCCAATTGATGTCGAGAGGTAAGGGGATGCATCATCCTTAAGGTAGGATAGCCCCTAGTTCAGGATGATGCGATCACTAATAATGTTATGGGCTCGAGAGATTCCAAGTGTCATTGACCACATTGGAAGTCCAGGGATGTAGAAGGAGATTCTCAATGAGATGTCGACGATTGTCGTCGGCCATCTCGTTGTCGGGTATTGAAGTGATCTTCATCTCTTTTCCTCTTGGGAGGAGGGATGGCTGAAGCCTCTTCGATGCGCACGTGTTTCTCAGTGCGACTTAGTAGCTCTTCCAGAGTGGTTGGAGGTCTTCCTGCAATAGATTCCTTGAATCTACCTTCCTTCAAGTTTTTTTGAATGATTCCAGCGAGCATGCTTCCTCCCACGTTAGGAACTTTCTGAGCTGCCTCTACAAATCGTTGAATGTAGTTGCGGAGGGTCTCGCCCTCTCTCTGGGTGATAGTGAAGAGGTACGCGGGAGTCTTAGCGTACTCTTTGTTCATAGCGAAATGGTGGGTGAAGCGATCCGTTAGTTGGGAGAGAGCTTCAATTGACCCAGTGGGCAAGGAATTGAACCAGCTTAATGCTCGTTCGGAGAGCGTTGTGCGAAACATCTTGCACATCGCCGCATTAGTTGGGCCATATAGGTCTGCCATGGCGTAGAACTTTTCAAGGTGCTCCTGTGGGTCACTAGTTCCATCGAACTGCGGTAGAGACGAGACCTTTACCCGTTGGGGTAGTATCTCATTGATTATTGCGACAGTGAAGGGACTGCGCCTTATTGGAGGTATTGCCCTTCCACCAATGGGATTACCTATGTGGGTAAGGTGATTTGAGCGAGATATCCGACTGTTAATTTCATCCTCTCCACCATTGTGTGGAGGAGCTCGTTGGCGAGAGGTGTTGTCTCTTGAAGGTGAACATGGGTCTTATTGCCCAGTTGGTGCATCTTGGCGATGAGTAGATTGTTGCATTCGAGACCTAGGGTTCGAGGTGGATGCGGTATCCGCTGGCGGTGGAGGATGTTGTGGCACGGTTGGAGATGCAAGGGGAACGTTGACTCCCGTTGTGGCGATGTATTGTGACACTACTTCAGTGGCAGCACGAGGCGAAACTTCCGCAATCATGTGTTGAAGGGCCTCTTCGGTTATTTGAACCGTTCGGGAAGCAAGGAGCGGTGGAGCAGGTAGTGGAGGATCGGAGAGTGGTGGATCCCGAGGGGGATTCACTTGAACCTCGCGAGGTGGATCCGGAGCACGGGGAGGAGGTGGCAAGCCAGAGCCTCCGCGAATTGGGAGGTTGTTAGATGTGTCATTCTCTCTTCGAGTGGATGACTCAGGAGTATCTTGGAGGCTACGTGATCTGGTATGCATTCACACAGACGGCGCCAAAATGATGATGCTAAAAATAGATCACCTTAGATAGTTGAGATCGAGGGAGCTGGGAGAGCAAAGTGGATCAGTGCTCACGTGCTAGATGACCCTGAGATACCTGCGAACAGAGAACACGTGAACTAGGCCGGGGTTGATCCGGCGGAAACCCCTTCGACGCTCATGTCAGGCGTGCGGATTGTGGAAATAGTTAAGAGAATACCTTAACAAATGAGTAAAAACCTCAATTTATATGTCGTTGATTTGGTTGGGTTTACTTTGTTGGGCCCAAGCCTTATTTTGAAATTGTTTGGGCTTTCGTGTAGTGGCCCCAATTATTAGATAAATTGTGGGCTCATTGAGTCGGCCCAATTAGGCGTATCAAATATATTCTCAGTTAATAAGATACCAACTACAAGTTTTGAATATAGATAATTAAGGCATATAAGTAAGAGCACAAACATACTACAATGTAATTAGACGTTATGTAGAAGAACCTTCGAGTCATTTTCACTATATAAGTGTGTTAATTGACATGTAGTGTTGTAGGAATATAGATATGACCTTAAGTAACTAAAATCCAACACTCAAACTAACCAATTTTTTCCCTTATTCCAATTTTGACCGCCACTGTCGGTCAACCACTGTTGACCACCGGTCTCCGATGTTGACTTTTTTTTGTTTTGAATTTTCCCAGTTCAGCTATCGTTGACTTTTTTTTGAAAACCGTTTTTTCTTAAAAATAATTATTTTCATTAATAAAATTGTCTTGGCCTGCAATATTACCATCGGAGACAGTAATTTACTGTATTAATTAATTTTATCTTATTGGCCTGCAATTTTGTTGTCTCCGACCGTAATATTACTATCTGCGATCGTTATATTACTGTCTCCGACAGTAATATTGCATGAGGGTAATATTGTTGCCTCATGCAGTAATATTATTGTTTGGGACAGTAATATTAGTAGAACGGTAATGTTACTAATATTACTTTTTGGCATTCAATATTACTATCTTAGACAATTATTTTGTTGTTAAGACAGTAACTTAGACAGAGAAAAAAAAAAAGTTAACGCCGGAATCTGGCCGGAAAAAAAATTCAGAAAACAATTATTTTCTAAAAAACTATTTAGAAAAATATATAAAATGGGAGTAAATGTGATATATTTGTTTAAATTCGGGGTCAATGTGCAATATTGATGAAGTTATAGTATAATGGATGGAGCTGATTAAAATTATATAATGAGGGATATTTTAAACAAAAGACATTGAGATGAGCTTATTTGCAAGAGTGTCTTTTGTCTGAATCTATGTGCATTTAAATCCATTGTCATGTGCATATTTGTTATTTGTCATTTGTTCTTAAAATAAATGGTAAATTACAACCACCCCTGAGGTATGGTCAAATTACGAAAACCCCCTCATGTTTGGGTAATTACAAGCACCCCCTCAACTATAAATCTTCTTAAATCTTCTTACACGTCCATCCTTGCGGTTTCAAATTTAGTGGAATCTTCTAGATTATATGAAATATTATCACTTTTGTTCCTGTTTATATCATTCGAACTCCACATTTTGAAGCAAGATGATCATAATATGTGTTTTTTGGGTTATATATATATATATATATATATATATATATATAAGATTGTGGTGTATCAAAATCTGTATTTTGACACAAAACGTGTACAAACTAGAGCACATTCCACGAAATCTAGATGATTATGTTGAATTTGACACCACAAAGGTGGAGGTATAAGAAAAAATCATAGTTGAAGGGGTAAATGAAATTATCCAAACAAAAGGGGATTTTTCGTAAATTGACCATACCTCAAGCGTGGTTGTAATTTACCCTAAAATAAATAATAAATAAAAGAAAGAAATACATGAATGAAAAAAAATTATGCAACTTAGGAGTTAACATATCTTGGTGTAGTGGTGGGTGGAATCAACGAGTGAAGCCAAATATATGCGTACAAGAGTAACATGAGGGCAGCAGCAAGTGCTTGTGGACCGCAATCCTCATTGCGCGTCAACGGAGACTAACAAAGCCCGTGGAAAATGATGTGCCCATAGATTTAGTACGAAAACATAGGGCCGGGCCGGGCCGGGCCCACAGGGATCGATAGATAGCACACCCGTGAACCTTGACACCTAATCATCCAAATTTTCTGTGTATATTATGCTAAGCCATTATTGAAAAGTATGATTATTTTACACTAATTAATGATATATAAATTCTTCTGTGGTCAGAATAATTTGACAGAAGTGCCAATACGCCAAATCACAAGAATTCCTGTCCAATATAATTCATAAAATAGATTAAAAAACGAAAGAAAGGAAACTAAGAGCATTTGGATTTATTTCAACACGAATTTGTTAATTAATTTAACTTATCTTATATGGGTCATCGTAGATTGCGAATCATTCAGTATACATATTGTTTTTAACTTTTATAAAACAAATTTGAACATATATAATACATTACGTGTAATGCCATACCTAATGATGAAGAATACAAGTAACTAAAAATTATTAATACTGGGATAAACTAATCCTACTGCAGATTATAAGCAAAGACTCTAGAAGATCACGGGAAGATACTTTTACTATTTTCTATATAAATATGTTTATTATGTGCTACATTCAGTGAACTTGATCAAATTATGTTTTACTTTTGGTTTGCACACAATTACACATATACATATGAACATGTATATGAATATAGATACACATACTCAGGATATATATATATATATATATATATATATATATATATATATATATATATATATACA